AGAAAGGAGAAATAGAAGTCAGGGAAAGCTAATGAATGAAAGAGAATGTCACCTGTGTTTTGAAAAACAGAAATAAATATAGTATTGATATATTCAAGGTAGAGAAAGTGTAAAAAAGGTGTTCTCTGATGAGTCTTAAACAGAATAGATCTCACGCAGATTGCATACATAATATTTTATGATTCTAAATTTACAGGTCTTATTTTCACAGGTATTTGGACAATAATGTCAGAAGGTGTTTGCTAGGTTTCAGCAATATTTTACTGTTAATCAAAATATAGTAATTTGCCTACAGTACTTAGGCTGTTAGATCTTCTCTTTTGATTTTGGGAGTTAAGTAACATATGATAAAGTATTCTGTGACAGCTAATGATAGTTTATAAAAATCGTCAATACAATGTTTTAAGTAAAATCCATCCCTCCAGAGTATGACACCACTTTTTTTTGTGTCTTTTACTGTTACTTGTTGCATACAGAAGTAATTTTTGTTTTGTCTTTTTTTTGCATGAATGGTGACAAGTACTTTAGGAACCAAAAAATAAGAGTGGACAAGATGTTTCTGGGATAATAAGCAAGGATCTCAAATTATCTTTCTCTTTCAGGCAAAACACATTCTACACAATTTTTGTGCATTGTACTGATGCATAATCCAAAATTAGTGTGTAATCTTTTTTTAAGGTAAAAATGAGTCTAAAATATATTCTTTTGTCAATCAATGTGGTTTTTAAATTAAGGAGGAGATTCAGTTTGAAAAACCTCTTGCTCTAGTCAGAAAATACCCCAAAGATTTCACCATAGGCTTGAGTAAAAAAATTCAAATTAAAAGAAAAAATAAATATTAAAAGAGGACAGCTTAACGTTAGAAAAACCTGTTAAAATCCTAGAGAATGGGAATCACAGCATTAACAAGATATATACACAAAAGGACTATAAGTGAGGAAACAGTTAAAAAAAAACTAATCAAGTGTAAAATCATTACAAAGATACAATGACAGCAGGTTGGAAGTAAATATAACTTACATGATTCAAAACAATAGGTAATATATGCATTTAAGATGGCAAAGCAAGTCAGCCTCATCTCTGTGCCTGGTAAGATTATGTAATAGATTGTCCTAAAAGAGATGTCAAACATATGGAAGAGGTGATTAGAGGCACCAACATGGCTTCACCAAGGGAAAATTGTGTCTGACTAATCTAGTAGCCTTGTACTATAGAGTGACTGTCAGTGGACAAGCTACAGATGTCATCTACCTGGACATCTGTAAGGCCTTTGATACAGTCCCTCTCAATATCCTTCCCATTTAGTTGGAGAGATATGGGTTTGACAGATGGTCTGTTAGATGAATAAAGAATTGGCTGGATGGAGGTGTACAAAAAATTGCCGTCAACATCTCAATGTCCAAATGGAAAACAGTGACAAGTGGTGTCCCTCAAGGGTCTGTATTGGGACCAATACAATTTAATACCTTTATCAATGACGTAGACAGTGGGACCAGGTACACCCTCAGCAAATTCAGGGATGGCACCAAGCTGAGTGCTGCAGTTGGTGCACTAGAGGGAAGGGATACCATGCAGATGGACTTTTACATGCTTGAGAAGTGAGCGCATGTGAACATTATGAAGTTGAACAAGGCCAAATGCTAGACCCTACACCTGGCTCATGACAATCCCCAATATTAATAATGCAGGCTGCGGGATAAATGGATTGAGAGCAACCTTGCAGAGAAGGACTTGGAGAACTAGTAGATGAAAAATTGGACATAAGCCAGCAACATGCACTTGCAGCCTAGAAAACCAATTGTAACATGGGCTGCATAAAAAGAAGCATAGCCAGCGGGCTGGGGAAGGTGATTTTGTTTGGACATAAGGAAGAAATTTTTTACAGTGAGGGTGGTAAGACAGGGAAACAAGTTGTCTAGAGAAGTTGTGGATGCCCTGCCATTGGAAGTTTTCAACGTCAGGCTGGATAGGGCTTTAATCAACCCGATATAGTGAAAGATATCCCTGCACATGGCAGGGGAGGTTGAAATAGAAGATCTTTAAAAATCCCTTCCAACATAAACCATTCTATGATTCTATAATTCTGTACAAATACAGAATCTATAGATATTTTCTTGTTACCTTTTATATCACTTGTTAATTGAAACTTGGTTTTCATCTAATCTTTCTGGTTTTGTGCAACCTTTCTTTAGGCCTTCACACTTATCTTCAGTTCTATGTCTTTGTTTCCATTTTTGCACTGACCCTTTTTTCACACCTAGTATTTTCCCCAATGCTCTCATAGTATGCCTTGTTTATCACATGTTGATACTGCCACTGAAATTTAATCTGGTCTATTTCGGAGACTATCAGATTTCCTACATTTCTTTATCTTCCCAAAAGATAAAGCCTCTGAATAAAGAGGCTGATTCCCAGCCTTTGAATATGCTATTCATGTGTTTGCTTGTTTTTAATAATTTATGCTTATTCTTCTCTCTATGCTTATTGCACTTCTAATAATGACCATTTTTGTGTAAACTTCTATCTAGTTTTACATTCTTTAAGCAATTTATCAGTTAACTAGAACAAATCTAAAATATCTACTTCGTTGTTAGCTTCCTCAGTTCTCCAAAACACCATCTTGTCCCCAGCATGTACCAGAACCTGATCATCTGTCAATGTGAGCAGCCATAAAGGTGACTTCATTATAAGGGGAAAGTTACTGAGGAGAAGAAAATGCCCACTACTGACAAAGAAAATTTTTGCCTTCCTGGGAACTAGGCCTGGGAACCAGAAGCATCATTGAGAGGCGCAACTGGCATCTTTGAAGTATCGCTGAGTACCTAGAAACTGGAGACATCCTGCAATACCATCAATAAGTGTAAAACCAAGGAACTGTAATGGCAATTTATTGTCTAAAAAGGTGAAAAATAGTCTTTAAAAATGGGGAAACAACCTAAGAAAGTAAGAATTGATAACTGTTGTTGGCTGTTCTCATTGCAAGAACAGAAAAACAGTTTGGAAAAAAAAATAATTATGTGAGAGTGTAGAAAATATCATCTATCGGATGTTCCAAGTGAAAAACCGAAATTAACATCTGTTGTCTGCTTTTAGTGGTGGTGAGCTGTGTGTGTGGTCTCAATGTAAGAGAGACTTAATTTTTATCTGAATGGAGTTTTTCTCTCTGATGACTTCTCATGCTGCATTCCCTTTCCTAAACAGGTCAGCTTGAATTTTTACAAGAATTTGGACCCTGGCTGGGGACACCTGGCTAACTCCAAACTCCATGACCCAGATCATCTTTAAAGTGAGACTCTGTCTTTTATTCTGTTGGTCCCCCTCTGGGTCTACTTCTGGGGTTGGGTTGGTTTGTCCTTCTACTTCTAGGATGGTTGAGTCCCCTTCTGGGATTGGTTTGTCCTCCCCTCAAACCTCCCTGGGATGGTTTGGCACCCTTCTGGAATATACTTAATGCCATTTATAAAAATTTGTTCATTTTTTTTAAATGATTCTAAATGCTTATGCCTGTTATATTTCAGGTGTATATAATCACCTATGGAGCCAATTATTTAAAATCCATTGAGAACAGTGTTTAATACTGATAGTTTAGTATTTCAATAGATGGTTATATAAACAGTCTTCTGATTGCAAAACATGGTATTTGTCAACTATTTCTGCTTCCACTAAGAAATATCAGACTATTTTTGAGATGTAGTTCTATTTTAAACCATTTTTTCCTTCTTCTTCCTCTTCTTCCTCTTTTTCTTCTTCTTCTTATTCTTCTCATTTACATCAGATGAAAAAATAAAGCTATTTCCAAAACTAGTAGATTTTCCTAGAGTAATCTCAACACACTACTCACAGGCATTCTAAAGATAGTCAAAGTAATAAGTAAAATATATGTTCTATCTGTAGAATCAAAGACTATCAGAATTTTGAGACCAGGGTGCAGTCAGGTTTAGATTTTTTAGTGGTGGATATTTTTTTGCTCTGCAGGAATGAAGCTTAAATGGACAAAACATATGGCAAGTCTTCATCTACAGGATCATCTGGAGAACTAATATTCTTCCCTTAACCTGTCCTGCATCAGTAATGAGAGCAGAGAAAGAGAAATCTTTACTGAAAAGCAGCTTCTTTCCCAATGCTATACTGAGGGGTTTGGTTTTATTTTATTTTTTTTTTTTAACTTTTAGGGAGGTTGTTAATATGCCATACTTCCCACAGGACCCTGTCCATAGAGTACCACTGACACATTTCCATATATAGCTATCCACAAGCACAAACAGCTCAACATGAAACATTTTCTAACATTCCTAGCAGCTGAAGAAAACTTTTACAAGCAGAAAAGAAGGTCAGTGAAAGCACTTCTGTCTCTATTCTGTACAGAACCTAGCAAATTATTATTTTTTCATTCCTTCAAAAATATTTGAATAAAAAAGATATGATTAAGCCCCCTGCAGAAATACCTAAAATTTGACCTACCCCTCACTGCATCCATATGGGTACTAAGCAGACTAGGCTAGACGAATTTTCCATTATTTTGTATTGAGGACAGAACGCTTTTTTCTTTAATTCTTAGAATGTTCTGTATCTATTGCACATACTTCAGACAGCACCTGGAACAGGTTTTCAACACTCTACTTGTAAAATCAGTAGCTTCTCCTAGGGCTTGGTTTATACAGTAAATTCTAATTTTGAATAAATAAACCCACATGAACTAAGACTTTATAAAACACATCCCAAAAACTATTGCTTGAACCATATTCTGTGTCACTTAAATATTTTTTAACAACATGAAAAACTATCATTTTGCACAGATTTTTTAAACAAAGGGAGACATAGCTAAAATCTGATAAAAAACTCAAATACATTTGAACAACAAAGAATTTCCCATATTCAATTATTTCAGCTGAAGGCAGAAAAATAAAGAGCTTTATGTTACTCCAGCAGGATATTTTTTAAAATTAAGAACTTTACAAAGTGAATTTTACACTTAAAATATCAACCAGTTGTTCTCACATGCAGGAACAAAACTTTAATTTCCACTATTCTTTTTAGCATTTTTATCTTTACAGCTATTCCATAGGAATAAAAAATATTTTTGCTGTAACACAGTCAGAATTCAGTACTGAAAACAAGAGGCATGCCTTCAAGTACAATACGGAAATGCCCAAGGCATAATGCTCTGAGCACCCCCCCAGAAAACACTCTTGGGTGAGATAACTGAGTTTAAACATTTTGGAGGAAATGTGGTGGCCCTCCTACTAAATTGACTACTCCTGCTATGTGGATATGAAAAGACTGAAGCAGAGCTGTACAGCAAAGTTAATTTAGCTGAGAAGTGTATCTTTCTTGCCACCTTTCATCTGATATTCAGTGATAAGTAACAGATTTGGAACTGACCATGTGAGCATTTTTTCAGGTGAAACAAGTTAGTAACCTAGAAAAAACTAACAGTTATTCTCTGGGTCTGAGTTGCAAATTGGAAACTAACACCTGAGGGTCAAAAAGGATTATCCCCCTATACATTTCATAACTGTAAATGACTGTACATGTTTCTAGACTGTGTTAAAACAGAACATATGACCTTAAATAGGGTTTTAAACTCATTTTTTGTTTCAAATGATAGGACATACCCATATGCTGCTGTAATACTTAGACTTAAATTTTCTAAAGAAATCCCTAATCTAAACTAATTATAAAGGCTTCCTATGTAGTCAAAAGAAAGAGATATATCCATCCAGAGGATGAGTTTAAGGCCACATCCTACCTTTGCAAAACATACTGTATGGTCAGGCTGCCACATATCCAAAAAACTTTCAGAGACTATAGAGAAAACAAACAAAAGGAAACCTGACTCTTTATTATTAATTATATTTTTATTATAATTGGTGAATAACATTCATAAATATCAGAGCAAACAGTAACTGACACCCTATTACTTAGTGACATGTCCATTACTGCTTTTAGATCCAGCAGTCTTGTACTGCTGATTGTGAAGTGTCTTATCTCAAGCAATAATACTAAGAGGTCTTCTAAAGGAATACACAGTGTCAGTGTTCAATAAAGATGTATGTCCCTTTGTGTTTGGATCTTCATGCATTCCAAAATTCTGAAAAACTCACTCCAAAGTATGACAAAAATGAAGTTTTATTAACAATAATACTAAGAGAAAGATTTTGAGTCTAATTAGGAAACTGACAGAACAGTCATAAGATTTAAAATAATAATGAACATTGTGTTTTCATATATGTCTTTTTTTTTAATCAGGAAGTCATGTTTTTATACCTGTATTCTCATACAAATCCGGTAATTTACTTAAAAAGGAAATACAGTTTAGTGTAATCACAAGGTTTTATGACTTGAACCTCTTGAAAAAGCTGTGACTTAAAACCCCTTGTGATTCATGTAAACATGAATATAAATACATTATAACTCTGAAAGTCCTTCTCTAGTTTAAGTCTGAATGTGGAAATAATATTCTACCTTGAGTTCCCAAACAAGCATTAATGGATCCTACTAATTAGCCCTAAAATAAAGACAATAAATGCTATATCTATAGTTCTTACTGTACTCTGCTTAATGGTTTGTCTCCTTAGGTCTTTGCCTACACTGCAATAAGTGGAACAACAGCTAAACAACAATAGAGGACTATCATCTCAAGCTTGTAAGTCATTTCTCTCTTCATAATAACCTCATGCTGGTTTATTTCCATGACAGACTCCAATTCAACAGTGACCCGTTCTGTATTTATATTTTCTTCTCTTGCATTTTCAATAAATGTTTGAGAACTGCCCAGCATGTGCCAAGAGATAAAGGTCTTACCTCAGAGCTTCATGGACACAAAACTGCTACTCTAGTATTTTCATATGTGAAGGATTGTTTCACCAAATATGATTTAGTTCTTTGTCTCTTCACCGGATATTTTTCACACTTCAAATAATTTTAAAGTAACTTCTTGATCCCGTTCCTTTTTCCCCTAATATTTAAGTAGTCTCAATGTATTGTGCCATTTTGGAAACAGTTACGTTATTCTTTCATATAAATTCTCTATTTTGTGTAGTTTATCTGAGAGTGGTGCTACATGCCCCAGGAATATTTTACTACTGTGAAAATCAGGATTGAATGTTTTGCCTATTTGCTTCTTGGTTCACAGAACCTGGTGTAGCTCTGTCTCCAGATTGAAACCTTTATCTCATAAAAAATTAGTGGCAAAAATGTCATGAGCTCAACTAACATCAGGATTCCAATGTTAAATGTCACAGTGATTTATAGAGAATTATATATTCCAGTTTCAGAGGTTACTTTTCCAATCCCAGCATGGCCTTAATGACATAACCAATGGAAAATCTTCCAAACTGTATAAAATTTGATTTATTCCAACATTATTCTTCATTCTCTTCCATCTGTACTAGAACAATCAAGTCAGCATTATATTGTTTATAAAGCTCTGACACACATATATCTCAGCTAGCTTTAGATGTCTACAATGTAGTTTATCTACATTCTCTATGATGTAGACATCTATATCTGAATCAGTCACACTTGACTCTTTTCATATTATTTCAAAGAAATAGGTATTTTTAGAACATGGATTATCTGATCTGTTTAAATATTTAGCCTGGAGAGTAAAGGGGTTAATTGTGTTCTGTAAGAGGCTCTGTCTCTCCACTGCCTATAAAGTTGTCTGACAGACTCATTCTGTCTACAAAGTGAGAGCAATGAGTCATTTGTTAGCATGATACCCATCAAAAATTCTGGCAAGACAACAATGTTATTATTTGTCTTCAGTCTAACTAATTAGGCAAGGGGCCCAGTAATAGTCCTGTCATGGCTTATATCTTCCTTTAAAGAGAGAAAAACTTCAAAATGACTTGGAGTGAACAGGAGTTGTCATGTTACCTTATTTTTTCCTTCTCACCCATTTGTTACCATATGCTTAAAAGGATTCATTAAAGGAAACAAATTAGTTGGGCACACTTGTGAGTTATGGGCAATAATCAGAGAATGTGAACAGGAAGATGTTGAAAGAATGGAAAAATACTCAGTTATAGGTTCTTGTCTGGCACTGCTGCAAAATTTAAGTCCCTTGTGAGGTTAGTGGCACAGCAGCTGTAGTATGGTGAGATGACATCAAGACTCTCAGTCCTGAAAGTCCATGACTCATCATAACAGCTTGCTTGCTAAGCTCATCAAGAATCAGACTGTGGGTGTTTATTGGTAGAGCATTTATTACTCATTTGGAAAAGGTCCAGCCACGTACCTTTTCATTATACTACTGGATAAACTGTCTCATATTTCCTTGGTGTCAAAGTATAGTGAGACTTGCTGGCTCGGACTTCTAGTTTTCTGGGCTGATGAAGGCAACAGCTACCTATTACTGACCACTTGTTTGTTTTGTTTGTTAGTTTTTTTCTCCCTCCAAATCAGAAAAAAAAAAAAAAAAAAAAAAAAAAAAAAAAAAAAAAAGATGAAACCATGTATTTTCATCAACATAAAGACATATTAGTAATAGTATGAGACGTGGATCTTAGAGGGATCTTACAGCTATGCTGTTGAAACAGTCCAAGAGATATTTGTCTATTGCAAACTGACACAACCAGTGAGAAAAGAAAAACTGATGTTGGTGAGAAAACAGGAGCAGAAAGGTATTTTTGAATGAGAATTACATATCCAAGTATATTACTTTCTCCTTATCTTGAGAAACAAAAGTAGATCAACTCCTATCATCTGCACCACTGTGTCCTCCTAGTATACAGTTTGCTTTATTGACACTGAGAGTGCAATTTCAACTCATATTTAGCTTGTCATCTAGTGTAACCTGGCTAGGTCCTTTTCAGCAAGGCTGCTGTTCAGCCTTTTATTTTTATCTCTTCTCCTGTACCATACATACTGCCCTTGTTTTCTTGATGCTTATAATAACAGCTTGCAAACTACATTTCTTCTCCATAACCTTAGTCATCTGTTTTTGTTTTTAGCTATGTCTTTGTACACTTTCCTCCCTAATCTCATATTTCATCCTCATACAATAAATTCTATGGACAGAATTACCTCAGTTACAGTAATTATCCTGATTCTGTCTACACTTTGCCTGTCTATATTGGTATCATACTGGATTTTTCTCCTATTCATACTAACTACAATTAATTTTACCTTTGTGAATCAAATTACTTAAATCCCAAAGTTATTGCCAATTTGATCTGGATTTCCCTTTTGTTGCTTCATCAAAGTAAGAGAAAATAGGCTGTAGGTAAATATTTTTATTCTTATTCTCCTCTTGTCTTGCACTGCTTCTTGCACTGATATGTCCATTAAATTAAGAAAAAATATTTTTTTAATGTTCTCGCAACCTTTTAAAAACTTTTTCCTTGGGTTAAAAAACAGATTCCCCTAAACTTAAAAAACAAGTTATTAGCTCTTATATTTTTTCATTTATAAGACTTCAAAAATATTTCAGTTTTCAGTAGTGTAAAGAATAACAGAAGTACTCTTCTATCGCTTTCTCTAAAGTTAATATAAATGAGGTCATGCCTAATTAGAAGTAGTTGGTGGTAGTTTACTGCTGGTAGTTTGCTTTTTTCAGTTAAACAGAAGGTGCACCCTATAATAACTTCTGAACTATTTTATTACCATAAATTAAGTAACTACACTAGCCATAAACTGTATAGCTACAAGGCTCTGGGAGCCAGCACTGTGTTCCGTGTTTTCCAGTATAGACATAGGCACTGAAACCAGCCTCTCTCAGTTACAGACAAATGCAGAAAGGCCATGTATCAAAATAAGTCTACAGAATAGCTGTGGCACATGATCCTACTCAACACTAGTTGCAGAACACTTCCAACAGCCTGCAGCAACATAAAGGTCTGAAGTATAAAAGAGGAAAACCACAAGCTGGTATTCTCCACAGAAGAGATGAGACCAAAATGAGGTCTGAAGTTTGCCCAAGGAGAGAATATGGGATCTGATGTGATCCTTGGGAGAGAACTATGCCTCACAGAAGAGAAGACAGCAAAAATATCCAGGAGTTTGTAAA